TATGGAAGAATAAGGAGCTCCACAGGAGGTTCTACAAGGCTCTACATGAGCCTTGCGTAGACACAGTCGCCTCCCTCCACTGGCTACGTTTCGGTGAACTCTTTGGGGAAACCGAGGGTTTTGTCTGTGCGATACAGAATCAGGTTATTAAGACCAACAATTATCGGAAATACATCCTAAAGGATGGCGCCGTCGACATCTGTCGAGCTTGTCGCCATCCCGGTGAGTCACTTAGGCGTGTCATCTCCGGTTGTTAGGCGCTTTCTAACTCTGAGTATTTGCACAGACACAACCTAGTAACCAGGATTCTACACCAGGAGCTCGTTCTAAAATACGGTCTCGTGGATCGGAAACTGCCATATTATAATTACTTGCCGGAAGCCTTGCTCGAAAATGACCGCGCCAGGCTCTACTGGGACCGGGCCATCATCACGGACAGGACTATTCTTGCGAATAAGCCTGATATTGTGCTGATGGACCGGGTACAGTCAAGGATATTTTTGGTCGACATTACCATTCCTTATGACGAGAACCTCGTGAAAGCCGAAACGAAACAGATAGGTTGAGAAAATATCTGGACCTGGCTCACGAGGTGACCGACATGTGGGGTGGTCTGCCGGCCGAAATTATTCCTGTGGTCGTTTCTGCGAACGGGTTAATCCCAGTCAGCCTCTCGGGTCACCTGAGGCGACTGGGACTCCGTGACGGATCGCTCCAAGCTCAAATGCAGAAGGCGGTGCTCCTTGATACCGCCCGCATCGTCCGCTGGTTTCTTTCCCTTCCCCCCTAACCCTCGGCCGTTTGGTTTCTCCTGCCGAGGGCTTCCATCTGGTTGGGTTTTTATATATTTATGTAATTTTTATGTATTTATTTTATTTTATTGATATTTATGTAAGTTTATCATTTTCATTTTCAATTATATGTTTATACAGCCCAACCAGATGAGAAAACTATACAAATACCCCATAATAATAATAATAATAATTTTTTGACAGACAACAAAGGCCCGTAAAAAAACATAATTACTTATAATCAACAAACTAAAATAAAATAATAATGTAATACAAAAATAAATAAAAATTAAATAAATGCCATTAAACAAATTAAAACTTACATCTTAACATACTAGACCAATATTTAAATATTTCACTACTCAAAATCTTTAAAAAATTTAAAGTCTGCAAATCAAATCATTTTCTGAACAAAATTTTATTAATTCGTTGCTAAATAACGTGTTAATATTCGCATTATAGTCTCCTAAGGCAATAGCCACATTTACGAAATGATTTTCTAATAAACTTTTGATTATACATAAAATATTTGTAAATTCAGGTAAATTTTCAAGATTGTTTTGAGGCATATAAACAGAAAAATACATATGACAATTCCCATTAATATACGATTTTATAGCACAAATTCGTGAATCATTACAATTTACTAAGTCAACATTATTAATTAACGCAGTTCTCCACAAGAGGGCCACACCAGCATATGGTCTCCCTTTTAATATTCCGGATGAAGAATCGACCGCAGAGGTACCATGTTAAGAGAACTCGGTATGAATTGTTGACAAAAAAGATAGCTCGTGGGGAAGCAGCCAGGTCTCTTGAAGAGCCACCACATCAAACTGTTTACACAGTTCTCTAACATGATCAACACTTCTCTTAATTGACTGATAATTAAAACTAACGAACTTCATGTCTTACGGAATTACTTTGCCAGAAATGTCTAAACACTATGCCTACAGGCCAGAAGTCCTCATTCATAAAAATATGTTTTCTGTCAAAATTAATCCTTACCTTAAAAGAAGCAAAGTTAATCACTTTAAAAGGTTCAATACATTCAACACTTATCACTTGTTCACCTTTACACTTAATATACTCCTCAAGCTTATCAGCAGTCGTTGAAACGTCTAAACGTGATACATATAAGCAAAGAGATCTCGGAGCAGCTCGGATAAGCGAATCTCCTAGTGGTTGCACGGCCGCCCTACCCTGTCTATTCCCATATTTCTTTTTATAAGACAGGGGCAAAACCCTTCGTCCTTATTTGTTGTTGTCAGATTAACCTCTTTTTGGCTATGTAACGGTGCAGACGTATTTATATCGTTAGTTATCGTATGTATATGTAGTGTATATGTAGTGTAGGTAAGGTAAGTAGATATACTTTAAAAAATAAACAATGACACCACACTCGCTTTGTTTCGCATAATGTTCGCACATTGTTTCGCACGTTTGAAGGTGATGGACGTCGAAGTAGCGTCTTCTTTTATACGCATTCATGTATTATGATTATGAATCACTAGGAATCACTAATCACGCACACGCACACGCAGACGCACACGCGAACGCACACGCGAACGCGCACGCGTATACACACACGCACACGCACGCCCATATTCCATAAATATATACTGGTTATCTAACAGGCAGCTCAGTAAATAAATTAAAAAGAAATCAATGCTTGCGGCGGGACGCGACGGGAGCGCGACAATTATATACTCTTTGGTCGCGGTCAAACGAAACGCTAGAGTTTTGGCGGGAACTTGACCGGCGGAGGCTTGCTGCTCCTGTATTATTGTTTAAATAATGGTTTGAAGTGGACTTTGATATGTGGTGCGATTTTGTGTATTAAGTGTCTGCGCATGTGAACTATTAGTGGAAACTGTGAAACAAGTGTTCTGATGGTGATGTGATTCTCAAAATAAGGTGTCTGTCTACTTAGGCACCTTGAGATACCATCGCCAACCGTCAGCTATCTGCCGGCTCAAGTTGCCGTCAAAATCTCATATTCTGAAGCAGTATACTATGAAGGATAATTATTATATTATTGTAACTTCAGGCTCAGAAAGGCTAGATCCCAGAGCCGTAAAGCCAGTTATTAAGAAGATTAAACGCTAGGGTTGTAAGCGTGCAATACGCATTGTCGATAATTTCAGCGCGGTAGCTCTAGTCCTGGCAAATTCAAATATAATTTCCAGTATAATTGTTTTTTATAAAGTGTACTAATTTTATGGATAATGCTTAAACTATAATTATAATATGAAAATGTACTTACTAAATCACCACATGCGGCCTGCATGCGAGTAATTTGTTTACTATTTTAAGCATTGTGCGTTATTATCTACAAAAATCAAGCGTAGGGCGTAAGTTAGATTTATTGTCATTTAGCATAGTATAACAGAGCTATTATAAATACCATAGTATTTGATGCAGTATGGACGAGTTAACCGTCTTAGCGGTTAGGTTATCGATGCAAGGTGTTCTGCCCGGCGAGCGGCCAACGCTCTGAGTGGTAGTTCGGAGCGTTCCTATAATATATGTATACTGCCTTACTTCATAAATTTGATAGCACGATTTAAACTTCGATGTGTTTAGCTTTGTGGCGCGATGACAGCGCTGCTGACACGTTGGTAAATTTGAAAAATGAAAAATTACTGAAAGTTCCTATACAAATAATTTTGGTATAATAAAATATACATTTATAGTATAAATTAGGTATTTTATAAATTCTTTTTAGCAATATTATCTTTCAGAAGTACAAAAATTTGTATTTATACCTTATTTCATTCTTTTTACTTTAAGTGTCACAGCGAAAGCGATTTGTGTTGCAAGAATTCTGTACACGACAGAATCACGTTTAGCAAAATTATTCGGTGCAATATAAATTTGACATTTAAATAATTGTCGTTCAGAATTCTATAGCTAGATGTATAAAAAAATATATCACTGGATAACATGTATTTTAGACGTTCACATTCTTGTTATTGCAAATTGCAGAAGTTATGTTTTATTCAAAACAGTTTTATTATTGGAAACCATGTTTTAATATGGACTAAATATACACCTAGTGTTTCTTGAATAAATAGAAACACTGTATTATATCTCGTATTATATATCATTTTTAAAACAATACAGAAATAAAATATATAATAATGCCAGAGATCTATGGAACGAAATGTGACATGAACATCTAAAATGTACCGAACGAGTAATGATCAACTAAGATCTAAAACAAAAGTTATAGACATCTTAACTAGAATTGATCAACAAAAGTTGAGTTGGATAGGCCGCGAGATGAGTGTAAAATGAAATAAATTTAAAATAACAACAGGTTGGTATCCTAGAAACAATAGCTAAGCGACGGAAGGAAAACCACAAAGGAGATATTGTGGTTTACAAAGTAGATGAGAGGATGAGCAAAATATTAAATAAAACTCATGAGGCTCTAACTGGAAGCGAGTGACTCGTGACAGAACTTAATAGAAAGAACCAGAGGCTTTTGCCAAGAAGCACGATGAATGAAAAGAAATACTTTAACATTATGCGAGTAATTTGTTTACTATTTTAAGCATTGTGCGTTATTATCTACAAAAATCAAGCGTAGGGCGTAAGTAAGATTTATTGTCATTTAGCATAGTATAACAGTATTTGATGCAGTATGGACGAGTTAACCGCCTTAGCGGTTAGGTTATCGATGCAATATAATAAAGAAGAATTCAGAGTAAAGATGCTGTAACGTAATTTACCTTTTATTTATTTTATCATTTAGTAACTATTATTGATAACAAGAAATAAAAATGAAGTTAAACATGTTCTTAAATTATTTTTTGAAATGAAATAACATTTATTAGTAAAAATAATTTTAAATTACAGACTAATTTTTAACTAATAATTATTATCAGACCTTTTTTATAAAAAGTCCAAATACTCCAAAAAAAGTCCAAATATTTTAAATAAAAATTTCAAATCTGAAAAGGTTTTATTTAAAATATATGAGTTCAAGTTATACAAACAAAATTACATATTTGAGCACGAAAGACGTATTATTATTTATTCTGTCTTGAATAGTAATATACATCGACATTTTATTTTAAACGATTATCGTATAGTGACGCACATCACTAGATCTGTAACCGTCGCAGAATTTTAAAAGTGCACGGGGCTTTGTTTCGGTTACAAAATGTGGAAAACTATAATATTTAATTAAAAATTATGAGAATGACGGAAAAATTAAAGGATTATCAAGTTCTCGATGTTCTCTGCGGCGGCACATTCTATAAAGTTAAACACAAGATCAGCAACAACATATTTGCGTGGAAGGCTTACGATTGTACCGCGTACTCCGATGAACAAATACAAAATATCGTAAATGAAGTGAAAACAATAAGTAAAGTGTTATCTGGCAACTTGCTACGCTACTATGATACAATTCTCCACAACGCGTCCAAGACTCTGTACTTTGTCCTCGAATACAACTCCTGGCAAAGCGTACAGGAACTGATCACCGTTTGCAAGGCCACCGATAAGTATTTCTCAGAGAGTTTCATATGGTATTTGCTTCTTGAGCTCGCACGAGCTTGTAAGGTTGTAGAAAATTTGAACTTCGCAGTTATACGGAAATGCATAACGCCTACCACTATTTACGTAGACGGAAGCGGAGAAGTGCGCGTAGACTGTTTCCAGTTGCAAACTACAATTACGGGATCATCAGACCTCATGCAACAGATTGGAGACGTAATACATACGCTGTGCTATCGTCCAGAAACTATTGAAAATAAAATTAAAGAGTTCCACTACAGTGATGATCTTAGGGATGTTGTCTCTTTCCTTACTGATGAAAGAAGCTCCGGTTTGCGTCCCGAAGTGGTTATTTACCATCCAACAATCTTATCAAACCTAGAAACCAATTCAAAGCCGAAACATTTGGCTGAAATTCTGGTGTCAAGTGAGTACTCTCAACAGAAATCAGAATTAAACAAATGCGATTCTGAAAAGTTTGTGGAGAAGTGTAGGACTATCAAACGTTTACCAAGGACCCAGTTTAACATTATAGATAGTCCAGTATATTCAAATATTTGCCCAAAGCAGAAACCGAATAAAGAAATTGAAGGCTCCAACTTAGAAAAAAGTTCTTTATCACCAACATTGCAAGCTTTGGCTTTAGAACTACCGGGGTATGTACCTCGCTGTAGAAAACCTTACAGTGAGGTTATAGGCACATTCAACAATGCTCAAAAAGTATCAGAGGAGACATTAAGTCACCAGTGGATGTCTCGATTAATAGCATTGAGAGAAAGGGAAGAATCACTGAATAAAAGGGAGAGGAAGCTCGTTGTAAAAGAAATCATAAACAGTCCCGCCACAAAGCTTGTTTCCAATGAAGATTCAGATGTTTGTGAAAGCAATGGTATTACATTGCCTCCAGTTGTTGCAAGTGCTGAGAAGAATCGTTGGAAATCGCGTCGTCGTCGTCGCCGATCAGGCTCAGTGCGAACTAGGGCACGTAGACAAAGCTACAGCTATGAAGATTTAGACAGCTCATTATCAGCAGACACTGGGGATGGGAGTATCATAGTCACAGCTACAAAGTTCACTACAGAGAACATGCCTCGTCGCAATATATTTCCTGATATGCCATCGAAAAAAGTGCACTTTACACCTGTTAATCCTTTCATTGGAAGTGATGAGAGTGTAACATTAACATTTTATGAGTTGGACAATTTGGATAACGTAGAAAATCAAAGTTCAACACAGAGTGAAAAAGCTGTAAAGGATATTACAAAATTCAAGTACTTAGATCTTGAAAATGCTATATCTGAGAAGAGAGCAGCTACACAGTGGTCTCACTCATCACCATCTAAGCAGGCTAAAGTGTTTGCGGACATAACAAATCATAGCAGCTTAAGAAAAACACCATCAAAGAGTAGTCTAACATCCAGAAGTTCAATAACTTCAAGATGTTCCATGATGTCGGCCAGGAGTCATTGGAGTATGGATTCTAGTAGCGGCAAGGTGAGTGAGGGATATGTTTCTGATAGAACTCGATCCAGTATGAGGCAATGCTTCCCCCAAACTCCAACTGCACCTCCAGAGTTAAAGAAAACTAAGAGCAGGAAATCTCTGATACATTTTAAAACTCCTTTCAAGTTTAAATCATCTACTAAGGTTTGAATAATTTTTACTCTAACATTAGATATGCTTTGAAAATGATCTCTCTCCAATGTTATTAATATTTACGTGTTTTATGTAAAACATAGTCTATTCATTGAAATCATATAGAGTTCATTTAAAATCTCCACTCAAGTGGATAAAAATGTGTTTTACTTTTTAATTTTTGCTGTAATACTTTGTGGTTGTGGTTTTGCTTTGCTATTTAACTTTTAAGCCTTAGTATTTAGTACAATTTGGACAAAAATTTAAAATATTTTGTCTGCTAATTTTTTTTTTTTGTATATAATAATTAAAACGGACATAACCCACCCTTAACCTAGTGTAGAAAAATTATATAATTGTAAATCATAAAGTTTATTTTGTGAAATGAAATAGTTGAAGTTTGTAAAAAATAATTTGAATTATTTGTGTATATGTTAGATGGAAACCAACAAGAATTTAGAAAACATTATAAATATTTTTATTGTAATTTTTGTCTTCCATATTATTGCTTAAATTGTTCAATTGACGATAATTATGAGGTGTATATTTTATGTATTGATAGGTATTTTAATGTTGTGTGCAATTTTGCTACAAATATTGTATCTTTAAAATAAAACATTGTTTGTGTAATAGTGGCCATATATTTGTAATTGATGAATTAGATTAGTACTTAGTTTGTATTTGAATCAATTTTGCAGAGAATCATTTTAATAGATTTAAGGGATATGTGATTAATACATAAATTTTTTATACAATATAATTGTTTTATTGAATATCAAGTACTCTTTCAGAGTGAATGTCACGCAGATTAATAAATGTCCATTAAACAATATTTATTCACTTTTTCTTATTTAAAGCTTTATCGGCACCTTCGAGATATTTCTTGGGTAGTCCATACTTCTCGATCAGCAGTTTTGCTATGAAGTGTGTCTGTAAAAGAAATTTAAATATTAAAATCAGTTTCTAGTTAAGGTATTAAAAATAAATTTAAAAGAGAAGCTTTCTAATTATAATGTGAATCTAAATTTTTTGCATTGTATATGATGGCCTCTTTATAACATAAATAGCTTTAATAAGAAAAGATAAATTCAACAATATATTATTTTACAAAATGCTAATGGCTAGCATATTAATAAATAAAATGTTTTATTATGAAAAATATGCATGGTACATTCTCACAGCACATGACTAGTACACCAGGGAAGACATCATCTCGCTAGTGTTCACAATGTGCTACATTCATATGAAAAATAAAACTAATACCGTAATGTGCAAGCATTTAGCATATATTGCTTTAATTTTTTTTCTAGAATAAGGATGACAAACACAGCACACAGTTCAGCTGATGGGAAGTGGATGCTGTGGCAGCACATAGACATCTAAATCCATTTATTCTCGATTAAGAATAAAAATGCAGATGCGTTGTGACCCCTGAGATGAGATTGAATGCCTCATTTCCAGTGAAAAGACTTACCATACAAAACACAGCAGCATTAACCTGGTATTTCACGCTGGTTTTCTGTGAGAGTGTGATCCTATTCCAGTCGAGCCATCCCATTCATGCTACAACTATAATATAGCTGTAGCATGGCTCATATCACATTTAAATTATTTCAGTTACTGTATTTACCTGATCACCCTGCACCATCAGTTGGTCACACTTTGCTCCTGGAGTCCTTGTCACTCCGCATGATGCAGCCACACCATGCTGGCACACTCGCGCCATTTCTAATAGGTTGAAGCCATATGCTTCTAAGTTTGACACTAGTGTTACCTAAAGAACATATAATAATGAAATCAACCAACTACTAAATTTCTTTACATGAATGGATATTTTGAGCACAGCACCCAAGTCATAGGGGACTGAGTTGCTTAACATCCTTTTTATACAGAAAACGCGACAAACGAGCACACAGTCCACCTGATGGTGATTGGATGCTGGACCCACAGACATCTACAAAATATATAATTCATTAAAGCAGAGCGTAGTCTTTTCCCAGTCAAGCTGACATTCATGCTGCAAGTATAATATAGCTGCAGCATGGCTCTGCCACATTATAATATACAGGGAGGAAATTTTAATTGAGAGTAAGAGAAGTTCTTTTTTTAATATTTATTCGTCAAGAAAAGCTTGTCAAATATAGAAAACAACTGGCTCATGTTATTCAGGTTAACCTTTTACATTAGCCAGGGTCACATATAATATATTATGTATAAATTGTTGTGTTTGTTGCAATAAATATTTTTTGATTTATTTAATACTTAGGCAATATAAATTACTTTCAGGATATATAAAATATGTAACAGTTTGAACAACACTGGCATCAATGAAATTAATTAATGCCAGGCGTTATTTAACTAATAATTTAGAAAGAAACATTAATGTCTACACTTTTCTAACAAACAAACATCCCCTGCTAAAAAATCTATTAAATATTTCATATAATTTCTAAGTAGCAACGCCCTGGTGCCAGAAAAAGTTGTGGATCCCCTCATTGTTGCATAACCCTCTCAGAAATTAGAGCAGGCTTGTCCCCATTGTAACTTTAGTTTAACTTTACTTATATACTAGCGATCAGCCTTGGCTTCGCACGGGCGATATCTGGACTTCGACAAAAGAACATTCTCGAAGAAGAATTTCATCAAAATCGGTCCAGCAATTTATGAGTTCAGTCACATACACATGGACAGAAGAATTATATACGTATATAAATATGTCCACGTGTCTCTATAAAAAAGATCGTCACAGATTGTCGGCTAACCATCTCAAAAGCAGTTTACCTTCTTGTTCCCGCTCCTGGTAGCAACTTGCATTTTGATAGGCTCGAGCTTGCTTTTGATAATTTTAACAGTTCCATCAGAAAACTGGAGCTCTGTGCTGGGAGTCATTTTGTTCAAGACAGCAGTCATAAGTCCTTCCCATTTTATGGTTTCCTGGTAAGAAAACACATTTTGATTAGGTATATCTTCTTTTTACTTACTTTCTTTAGCAACCCTCAAAAGTCCACAACCAGTCCATTTTTAAATGAAACTAATTTTACGGATTTTATCGCGTATATTAACTTATTTTACATTCCCGACGTTTCAAGCACTTTACAGCACCCATGGTCACGGGGGGGACTGAGGTGTATGACAGGTGTATGTAAATTCTAAAATTCAGTTCACAATGGAGTTAGAGGCAAACAATTCTTTAGCTTTTCTAGATGTATTAGTAATTCGGAATCCTGATAACACCTTGAGCCACACTGTGTATAGAAAAAAGACCCATACAGATAGATATTTAAACGGTGATTCTCACCACCATCCTTCACAGTTAGCTACCGTGGGTAAATCTTTGTTTCAGAGAGCACGAGGGATCTGTGACAGTAAACACCTGGCCGCCGAGCTCCAACACGTCAAGCAAGTTTTGCACGACAATAAGCTTCGGGTCCCGCGCCTACGTCACAGTGAACGAGTGAAGCCGGCCACAGTCGAGCGAGTGCCTGCTGTACTGCCATATGTCAGAGGTGTCACTGACAAGATTGGCTACATCTTGAAGCGTGCTTCCATTAAAACATATTTCAAGCCGCCGAAGAAGATTAGTCAGTTTTTACCATCAGTCAAGTGTAATATTCCTCTGCAAGATGCAGGAGTGTACAAGCTGGATTGTGAATGTGGTCTCTCTTATATAGGACAAACTAAAAGATCCATAAAAACCCGCGTTAAAGAACACATAGCTGATGTGAAGAATAGACGCTCCGGGAAGTCTGCAGTCTGTGAACATGTACAGGATCGCCCCCGTCACTACATTAGATTTGATAGACCACAAATCCTCGCTAAAGAACACCGATTCCTTCCAAGGATGATTCGCGAGGCTATTGAAATCAAAAAACATCCTAATTTCAATAGAGAAGATGGCTGGGTGCTACCATCTGCTTGGGATCCCATAATTAATAAAATTAAATCCCAACCAAAGCATACAACTGCAAGACTTCATGATACTGTAAGTTCATACTGCGTAGATCGGAACAAAAATTAATAATTTTTAATCTGGAGGTAGCCGTGGTTAACTATGACATTGGGACGTCATACACCTCAGTCCCCCCCGTGACCATGGGTGCTGTAAAGTGCTTGAAACGTCGGGAATGTAAAATAAGTTAATATACGCGATAAAATCCGTAAAATTAGTTTCATTTAAATGTGTAGTGTTCGCGTAAATATAAGAAATCACTATGTGAACCAGTACGGACTGGTAATTGCAAATAAAATTCGCCGATTAGAAGATCTCGTGACTAAGCGCGCAAGATATATAACAGCACTAAACTTTTTAAAACGCTGTCGTGATAATAATATCATCCCTACGTGTGTCAAAATATCCACTAAAAAGGACATTCGAGGAAGCGCTAAGATCTTAAATGAGGCAAGTAAAAAGTTGTTACGAACGGTAATCCAACAAAAACGCTCCGATCTACATACCATAAACAAATCCATAGACACATCATTCAGTGATTTAAAGGCAGTTTTAACGACATTTGATTATAATGTTTGCATCGAAACGTTAAATAAACGAGAAATTAACAAATATAATGAATGCAAAAACAAACATATAATAAAATATCAAAAATTAACGAGCAAATTAAATGTCAAACATCTGCGTCGACGTGAGAACGAAACGCAACCGTCGACTACGAACGCGGATCATAGATTAAACGCGGTCTATAATCTGTCTAAACAAACTCTGGATGATGCAACAATTAGAGTATTATCGAAAGGTCTTAATTTTGCTATAACACCGAAAAAATTACCGTACGAACAAATTATCTGTAGTGTCGAGGACTGTTTATTTAAAAACAATATGCAAAAGGAGGATTTGGAAGCGATACGTCAAGACATTTCGTCTATGTTACGTCGAAGTTCAGCGCCAAAACCGAATCTACCTAAAGACGAATTCAAAGCGTTGACTAACCTACGCAATAAACCAGAACTCACGATTCTCCGCGCAGATAAGGGAAATGCCACGGTAGTTATGGATACGTCAGATTATAATTCTAAAATACAAGAACTTTTGTCGGATGCAAGTACGTATAAAAAGGTTAAAAATGACCCAACAAATAACACACTTAAAACAACTAGTGATCTCATAAAGAAACACTCCGAAAAATTAAATCTAGACGTAAAATCGATAATACCTACGTGTGCTAAACCACCGAAGTTGTATGGGTTACCAAAAATACACAAGCCCAATGCTCCACTACGTCCTATAGTGAGCCAAATCGATTCACCAACTTACAGATTGGCTCAATACTTAGCGAATATACTCTCACCGCTCAAGGGACATACAAGAGCACACACAAAGGATTCCTACCAATTTGTCAGCGAGATTAAAGACCTACATCTGGCAGACAATGAAACTATGGTGAGTTTTGATGTGCAGTCTCTATTCACATGCCTACCTGTTGAAGACTGCATCTCGATTGTTACTAGAAGGCTAGAGGAAAACAACATGCCCGTAGAATATGCAGTATTACTCAGACACTGCCTTACATCTGGCTACCTATTGTGGAAGGAGGAGTTCTACAAGCAAGTAGATGGAGTGGCGATGGGCTCACCTGTATCTCCCATTGTCGCCGATATATTCATGGAGGACTTTGAGGAGAAAGCCCTGCTTACTTCTCCCATAAACCCAAGATTCTACAAGCGGTACGTAGACGACACTTTCACAATTCTACCTTTAGATAAAGTAACTGCATTTTTAGACCATCTTAACTCCTTAAATTCTAAAATTCAGTTCACAATGGAGTTAGAGGCAAACAATTCTTTAGCTTTTCTAGATGTATTAGTAATTCGGAATCCTGATAACACCTTGAGCCACACTGTGTATAGAAAAAAGACCCATACAGATAGATATTTAAACGGTGATTCTCACCACCATCCTTCACAGTTAGCTACCGTGGGTAAATCTTTGTTTCAGAGAGCACGAGGGATCTGTGACAGTAAACACCTGGCCGCCGAGCTCCAACACGTCAAGCAAGTTTTGCACGACAATAAGCTTCGGGTCCCGCGCCTACGTCACAGTGAACGAGTGAAGCCGGCCACAGTCGAGCGAGTGCCTGCTGTACTGCCATATGTCAGAGGTGTCACTGACAAGATTGGCTACATCTTGAAGCGTGCTTCCATTAAAACATATTTCAAGCCGCCGAAGAAGATTAGTCAGTTTTTACCATCAGTCAAGTGTAATATTCCTCTGCAAGATGCAGGAGTGTACAAGCTGGATTGTGAATGTGGTCTCTCTTATATAGGACAAACTAAAAGATCCATAAAAACCCGCGTTAAAGAACACATAGCTGATGTGAAGAATAGACGCTCCGGGAAGTCTGCAGTCTGTGAACATGTACAGGATCGCCCCCGTCACTACATTAGATTTGATAGACCACAAATCCTCGCTAAAGAACACCGATTCCTTCCAAGGATGATTCGCGAGGCTATTGAAATCAAAAAACATCCTAATTTCAATAGAGAAGATGGCTGGGTGCTACCATCTGCTTGGGATCCCATAATTAATAAAATTAAATCCCAACCAAAGCATACAACTGCAAGACTTCATGATACTGTAAGTTCATACTGCGTAGATCGGAACAAAAATTAATAATTTTTAATCTGGAGGTAGCCGTGGTTAACTATGACATTGGGACGTCATACACCTCAGTCCCCCCCGTGACCATGGGTGCTGTAAAGTGCTTGAAACGTCGGGAATGTAAAATAAGTTAATATACGCGATAAAATCCGTAAAATTAGTTTCATTTAAATGTGTAGTGTTCGCGTAAATATAAGAAATCACCAGTCCATTTTTACCCGACTTTAAAAAAGCAGGAGTTTCGCAACAACTATGTATATTTTCCTTTTTTGTATCTTGGTTATTTGTAAACTGATTTAGATAATAATATTTTTTTTAATAAACTGACAACATTTGTGTTGAGTGTTCCTCTATAAATTTAAAGAAAAAATTTCATCCCTAAGGGTGAAAAACATAGTCTGTTCGCATGGATACGGCCGCCTTTGTGTCGCGTTACCTTGGCTCAAGCCGCATTTTGTCAAAGGTTCCGCCGCGGCATCAAAGGTCACCCGCAGGAAAATTTGGCATTTAGAACGAAGGTCATAGGGAAAGGTTCTTTGCTACCTAACTTGCGTTTATTATTTATATTCGGAATTTATTACAATAACCATATTAATAAAACAGTGTTCTATAATATTCTTAGAATAGAAAAACATTTCTTTAACAAACACAGTAAAAAAATAATAAAAGCAAAATATAAAATGCGCCTCTGGGTGTATCGACATTATCTTAGCGAACAGACTATACACTACGTATGAAATTTATAATGTTTAGTCAACATTTTAGTTGTTACCTTCAAGTTAAGATATTTCCTTATAGTTAAAAATATAAAGTTTTAGTGAAATGTGAAAATTAAATTAACTATAAAATATATAAAATAATTTCTGCATAATAGCTTCTGAAATTGGAGACTAATTCTACAATACACTATCTCTTACTTATGTATGTTCTTTGGTTTCTCTTAGACTTCTCTCTTAGATAGTGTCTCTCAACAGATAGCTCTGTGGCGGCGCTGTCGTCGCGCCACAAGCGAAACACATCGAAGCCTAAATCGCGCTATCAAAGTTCCGAAATTAAAGCAGCATATATAGAATAGCTCCGAACTACCAATCGGAGCGTTGGCCGCTCCCCGGGCAGAATACCTTGCCCGGCGGGAGATCTCCCCTTTTCCTTCCACCCGCTACAGTGGTGACCCCGACGTGATCTGAACACGCAACCAATAACCTTCGGAAATTACACCTTCAAACCTTCATCATCCTTAAGTACCCCATTTATTCGCTCCCAAGCAGACATTGTCTGCAGTCTTCACATTCTGCAGGCCATCTAGCTTAACAAAGGTTCATCGCAGCACTGGAATAATAATGCTTCCTGTTCCTTCAAGCTACTCTCTGCGCTACAGTGTTCGGCACGGCTCTAAACCTTACTGCTCGCCTCTGCTTCACGGCACTCTCGCAGATTACTTGCCTTCTTCTCGACTCACCGCAGCCTACAAGGCAATCCCTGGCACTTGCTCCGGCTCATCGTTCTCACCGGCATCACTTGCAAGTGCGTAGTACGGCATGCATTACACACCGGCATATCATTCGCACCGGCGTCACTTGCCCTTACGCACACAGCATGCATTCCCCACCGGCATTAAGGACGCACCGGCAATAGGACTGCACTATCGACCTCCGGTCTGAGCAGGGGGGTGATGTGGCGGCGCTGTCGTCGCGCCACAAGCGAAACACATCGAAGCCTAAATCGCGCTATCAAAGTTCCGAAATTAAAGCAGCATATATAGAATAGCTCCGAACTACCAATCGGAGCGTTGGCCGCTCCCCGGGCAGAATACCTTGCCCGGCGGGAGATCTCCCCTTTTCCTTCCACCCGCTACAGCTCTTAAAATGAACATGGACGAAAAGGTTATGTGTAACGTCCATGTCACACCTATGCAAGTAGTTGTTGGGAGCACTACGCTCGGTGTTGTTAACAAGTATATATACCTGGGACAAATTGTCCGACTAGGTGGCTAGATACAGGACTACACAGCATTCTGGAGATTATAACACATCTTCCCGTCAGGTATACCTCAAAACTTGAACAAGATTATACAACGTGTGCGTGTTACCAGTGATGACCTATGGATCTGAGACAGGGTCCTTCACTGCTTGCCGTATAAGGAAGCTCAAGATCGATGAGCGAGTTATAGAGAGGGCTATATTCAGAGTTTATCTGCGTGATGTCTTTGAAATAAGGATATCCACAGTAAAACCAAATGACGGATCAGTGTGCCGAAGTGGCAACGGGCCGGCCATATAACTCGAAGAACCGACAACCTATGGAAAAGAAAGGTTTTCGAGTGGCAGGCTCGTACCGGTAAACGAAGTGTAGAGCGGTCTCTAACTAGATGAAGTGATGACCTGCAAGGTTAGCATGGGCAGGAGACATTTTATCCCTGGGGAAAGGAGAAAATGATTATCCCGTCGCTTAGTTTTATCCACCCTTCGAGCATGGGCACACCGGTGGATATAATATCTAAAGTAGATAAAATGCGATAATTTGTATGAATATAAACTTAAACCCACGTGCAATGAACTAGGATAAAATTATCCCTTTCAAATGTCAAAAAAGCATAATTATTTCTTTTTCATTTGGCCTCATGCTACGGACGGGGGGTATATTATGTCTACTCATTATGTCCAATGGGGATATACTTCTCCTTTCCCCTGTCGTGCCGTGCTTTGGCATAGGGACAAGATAATTTTATCTCTTGTCAGTGAATATAATCGGGGGATAATTTTTTTGTCCCCAGCCTGTGCTAGCCGTGCTGGTAAGAAACTCAGGAAGTCGACGGATGCAGGTGGCTCGGGACCGCGCTTTGTGGCATTCGTTTGGGGAGGCCTATGTTAAGCAATGGAGTTGTAATGGGCTGTAATAACTATTATAATGCAGATCAACTCTTTAAACATCACATGAGAGAAACCTGTTAATTTTTTTACTCAGTTTACCTGTTCCTGTTGTCCAGTAATCTTTGCCAGCAGTGGGTCCAACGCAACGGCTCCTCGCTGCTGTGTGCTGTTAAGTCCTCTCGTCTTCACATATTCGGTAAGGGTGGACCGAACATCCGCCGCCGATAGAGCTGTGCCTTTCCTAAACCAGGATTGATAAAGTTAAATAAAAAAAAAACATGCGGGCAGTTCACACGCAGCAGAAGTGAAATCTTCAGAAAATTAGACTTCGAGAGAATGAGATGAATGCACAGTATCAGGAGTAGGATAATTGTAGGGCTTATGTAATTAAAATATAAATAAATTTATAATAAACGCTGTATATTGTATTCTATCTCATTCTTTCGCAGGCTAATGGCCAAATACTCAAACGATTCTCAATTTTATAATGTCGCTATGTCTCGTTGTGTCACAGTCACTTTGACATAATGTGATAGAGACAGCACGAGACTTAACGGTGTCTTAAAATGGAGTAGTCTTTGAGTATTTGGGCATAAATCCTATAGATGTATATGTTTGTATCTTTTATATCGACTTCAAAAAGGAGGCGGTACTCAATTCGACTATATGTTTTTTTGTGTGTCATAACCTTTTACTGGGTGAACCGATTTCGATGATTCTTTTTTTATTTGAAAGCGGGTGCTTCTCATGTGGTCCCATATAAATTTGATCAAGGTCTGACCAATTGTTTTTGAGTTATTCTTAATAATTTATATTCAAGTCGGTTGGACAACATTTTTAATTTTTAATTATTAGTGTCGCTTTTTCGTTTGACCGAGTTTCAAATAACAACGATTCTAAAGAACATTTCACCGTATAATGGCAGGGTTCTTACCCTATATATATAATGTATATGTACTACTTACCCCATATCGTGACGTGGGTGTCTTAATAGGCGACAAAGGGAAATTAAAATATATGATGGGCTGCGGGATCTTCCTGATCACAACTCCAAATAATAATAAAACTGCGGTTGCCAACCCGCCGGCCAATCGTGGCAATTATGGCAAAATCCCTCCTATGAGTCAATCTATGAGGGAGGCCTATGGTTAGCAGTAGTTTTTTGGTGGGCTGTAATGGATGGATAGATGGATTTTTTTATAGAATAATAGTGACAAACGAGCACCAAGGCCAACTGATGGTAAATAGATGCTGTGGCCCATAGACATCTACATCTATCTTCAATTAAGGGTCAAAATGCAGATTGTGACCCCTGAGTACTAAGATGGAATGCCTCGTTTCCAGTAAAAAGGGTCTCCGGTCAAATACGCTGTGCTTCGTGGTGAGTGTCTACACTCACCATATATAAATATGATAGCCAGATTTACGAGGAATAGTAGAGATATCTAGCATTAGTCACACCTCTGTTAGCCTTAAATATTGATTTTTGTAAAGTCGGAAGATAAAGCACTCCCGAAATGCTTTACCTGCGTGCGTTAGTGATACGTAAATACAATGTTCTACTAAAAAATTTAAATCTTTCCTCTAACTAAAAAAAAAGTCCGCGATACCACAGGCCTATTTCTTATACATAAGCCACAATAAGGTATTTTGTGGCACAAAATATTGAAAATTAAAAAGTGATTTAAGAGCGTTATTATTAGCCATGGCATATTAATCCTTACGAACGAAAGTTACTGCATCATCAAGACAATTTTATGAAGGTAAACTTTGTTCTTCATAGCATGTTATTTGGACGCATAGTTTAAGAGATAATGAAAAATTTAAATAATTCAATACTCCGGTCGGCACGCAAACCGTTGAGAACCGAGAGAAATCAGCAGTGAATGCGTGATGTATGCGGGGAGCTCTTTAACTGTACTGAACTAGTTGTCAGTATAAAGTGTTCCTATTATCTTGGTCTTCCCTATGTGCGGTTCCTTAGAGATGGTTAATAAAAATTTTAACTGTTAAAATACTGAAATTAAAAAAGTACAAGTTTTTTTTTTAATAAATAAAACTGATTATGTAGAGTAAAATTCTTATATATTTTTTTTATAGAATTAGGGTGACAAACGAGCACACAGTCCACCTGATGGTAAGTGGTTGCTGTGGCCCATAGACATCTGCATCTATCTTCGTTTGCGAATTAAATTGCAGATGCATTGTCAGCCTTGAGGACTAAGATAGAATGCCTCTTTTCCAGTAAAAAGGGTCTCCGGTTCTCTACACTCACCATACGAAACACAGCAGCGTTAAGCTGCTATTTTAAGCTGGTATTCTGTGAGAGCGTGGTCCTTCCCCGGTCGAGCCGACCCATTCGTGCTACAACTATACTATTAAAATGGCTGCAGCATGGCTCTACCACGTAAAAAAAATGGCTGCAGCATGGCTCTACCACGTAAGAATCCAAACCATTTTTAACTATCCACGATTTCATATCTTATCGATTAATATTAAATTCGTCGTATTTAGGCCATCTAGTGTTTATTTTATGAACCACCTTGAGATTCAATCAATTTTTGTTCTATATGATTCTAATGATTTTACTTATAGAATGAAGTAGACGTCGCTATTTGAAAGCGATTTAAATTGAAAGACAATATTTACCCTAAAATTTAGGATCCATATGTCTAAAAATAAACATTGTGACATTTATTTTCTGTAAAATTAAACATTTATCATATATTTTATACCGTACTTTTGGTTGGAAATTATCTTATTAAATAAAATTTGCCGTGAAATATTTTTATATTATATTTAATTTCATTTGAAGGTTTCACTTCTACCGCGTGTGAACTGCACACATGTTTTATTATAATTTTGAATTGTTATTAGGAAGATGTTGCTGCCTATCTACTGTCTCAGTTTTCCTTTTTTAGAGTTCCGTACCTCAAAAGGAAAAAACGGAACCCTTATAGGATTATTTTGTTGTCCGTCGGTCTGTCTGTCTGTCAAGCTGAAATGCAATTACTAAAAAATGCAAATACTCAAGTCTACTGTCCCTTGGAGATGTGAAAAAAAATCAAACTTCTAAGCCAACGCAATCAAAAAAAAAACAGCCATTTATGCCGTAAAGGGCAATGGCAGAAAAATAATTGACAAAAATTATCGCGTCTAGAAATAAATTATATATATATATATAATGAGTTTTATTATTTTTCTATGATTTTTCAAATAAAAATGTATTTTAATTAAAGTTACAGAAAAAAAAAAACAAACATTTTAGGGAATATCAAATGACTTAAATCATTTTATTCTATTCAAGTGTTACCATTTACTATATTCATACTATTTTCGTATACACTTTGTAAGATTAGCAACACAACACACAAACACAAAATATTTTTGTATTAAGTTATTATTAGTAATAACTATACTATCAGTAATAATAAAAAAATAAAAGTGATATAGTTGAAAATAAGTCTCTTACTAAGAACTTTCTACAATAATATATTATCTCAATCATAGTAATATGTAACATTTTCATTTATTGTTATGACAACACTAGCTAAAACAAAATGACACTGTTTTTTTTTATTGGCTTTACAACTCTGGGTTCTAGCCCTTCTGAGAGTGTCACTATATGACACAAAGGTCCTGGAGCCATGCCAGAAATATACATTTATATTATGCAAATATATAATAGAGTTACAATAATCTAAAAACTCTTATTTATGTAAGTAAGTACATTGTGTTGAGAATGTATTAAGCTAACATCAAACAACCACAGGACGCATGACTTTTTCCAAGTGACATAAGACATAACCTTAAAAGGTTCAAATCTAAATATCTTTTTTTTGACGCCTTCTCAGTACAAAATTCTTTGACAGAGTTATTAAGGGACTGACGCTTAACATTTTAAGATATTTTTGATATATAGACGCTACCATTCCTTCTCAACTAATTTTATGTATGAAAGTCTGCCATTGTTCTTTTCGACATTCGCAAGGGAATCAAAACCTACAGGGTACTTCCCGTGAACTCAGAATCTTAAAATTTGGTACAAAGCAACGTATTATAGCATAGATAAAGGAAAAATTGCGAAAAGCATAAATTTTTAGTTACATCATATAATAAAAATATTTTTAATAATTTTAAATTTATATACCTACGGATTTGTTCGAAACCCTCGGTGCGCGAGTCCGACTCGCACTCGGCCGGTTTTTTTGTTTTTGTTTTAGATATCCACGAGACGATATGAGGTAGTGGATAATACATTGACACAACACGGTTATATTAAATTTAATTTCGAATTAACCTGAGGGGTGCGAAGAGTTCAGTGACATTGGCAGTGATGCAGTAGAGGTCCCGCACCAGCGGCGGCGCGGGGCCGGCCGCGGCGGGGCGGGCGGCGGCGCGGCGCGCGGGCGCGCGGTGTTCTCGGAGCAGCGGGTGCGCGCAGGACACGGCCACCAGCGCGGACACGCCCTTTTCGATCTCACGCACCTCTAGCAGGCCTTCCTTGAACACACAGTGCCGTCACAGTGGGAATACGTCTCCCGATATTTCAGCCCGAACCCAATTTATTTTTTACAAAAGTACGCCATGATTACAATAATAATAATAACCTTAATTCTTTCCTAGTAACCTTTCTTTTAATTAACCTCTACTTAATCTTCAGTTAAAGTTAATTACAATGTTCTCACTGCAATCATAACCTAAGAAAACGAGCAAAAAGTTAGGCTAAATTTGCAAAGGTTTACAATAAGTAATATAGGCAAATGGTGAAGAAAAATTTATTAAAAAAAATCTCAAACATTCAATCCTTTTTATCTTTTAAATTCAAAATGCGTAGTAATGCATTATTTAAACTGATTGTCATTCATAAATATCTAACGCCTACTATTTTACTACGCACGAACACATTCGTAAGAGTCGCTCGGTTGACAAAAGCGTCGTGAATTGAATCGCACACAGAGGAGCGCGCGTACGCGTAGTTGTTGCCCATAGATCACATTCAATTTGGCATAATTTCAAATAAACGTAGAAACGGTATAACGGTGGTAGAGCATATAACAGTATAACGCGGCAGTTTTTGCTGTTGCACGCATGGGCCGGCTCGAGCCAGATTGGTACCACGACCTCACAGAACACCAGCGTGAAGTAGAAGCTCTGCTTCTGCGTTTCGTTTGGTGAGTACAGGTACAGTAAATTCCACTCAAAAACATAACTGCTCAGGGCAAACTGAGCTACAATACCAAGGCGACCCCTGCCACGCTATCCGTGAATTTCTAACACATCAGGAGACTTCACTCGAACCTAAACGCCGCCCACTACCATCTCGAGACGGTGAAGCCGGCTTTGCTCTTTCTAACCGAGACGCAGGTGTCTTCTCCGGCTGATACTTCGTATCTCTCCTACCCGGGGTACTAATTGGAGCACTCCTTTGTGTCTCGGGCTGGAGTTTGCGTGTATGTCAGAGAGGACATCTGTTCTCGACGCCTCGGCAGTCTTGAAGGTTCGGACCTGTCCATTGGCTACGCGTAGACAGCGACGACCATCCGCGCGTCTACGGGTGCCTCTATAGGTCCCATAGCGGTAACGCCGAAACAGACCGACTCATCAACCACGTCCAAATGGCTACAGATTCCTTGCTACAACAGGTCCCATCCGCAGAGATCGTGATCCTTGGCAATTTTAACGCCCACCACGCCGAATGGCTCGGTTCACGGTTAACCGATCATGCGGAGAGATCTGTTTATGACCTTCCCTGTTGGACCGTCCGGATGAGAGGTCAGCAGACCTCTCATCCGGGCGGATATCAGGTTTCCGTCGATGCCCCTCTCGACTCTTCGGACCATTGTCTAATCCGGAGTGTGGTGCCAATCACGTTCCCCTTGCGGTTGCGTTCTGCAGGTTGCCACCGTGTTTGGCATTACAGGTCGGCATGACAGGAGCGGGTTTGCTTCTCGCCGGATGATGCCAGCGCTGTCGCTGACTCTGTCACTGATGTGGTGCTACAGGGAATGGAACTATTTATTCCATCATCTGTGGTACCCATCGGCGGCAGATCTCAGCCTTGGTTTGGTCGCTCCTGAAAGACTGCATTACGTAGTAAGCAGGAGTGTTATCAAGCCTGGGTTGCGGCTTTGGCGACTCGGGATGTAAACACCAGCACACTTAAAAAGAAGTATAACTTCGCCTCCAGGTCCTTCAAAAGAGTTATAGCCAAGGCAAAGTCAGAGCACATAAGCAGAATTGGTGAGAAACTAGTTCGCCTTCCTTCGGGAACCCGTGCATTCTGGTGTCTCGCCAAGTCTGTCCAAGGGAATTTCTGTAAGCTTTCACTACCATCTCTGCACAGGGAGGACGACTCACAGGCCCATGCCGCAAAAGACAAAGCCGACCTTTTAGGCTGCGTCCAACTCGACTCTTGATGACGGGGGGGAGGGGGGGGGGGAACACCGCCGACCATCCCTTATTAACTGCCAGCTCATGCGGTACCTTGAGGATCACCAGCTGATTAGTGACCGCCAATACGGTTTTCGTCGGGGTCGATCAGCTGGTGATCTTCTGGTCTACCTGACCCATAGATGGGCGGAGGCAGTAGAGTCCAAGGGGGAGGCGTTGGCTGTTAGTTTGGACATTGCAAAGGCCTTTAATCGTGTTTGGCACAAAGCGCTTCTTTCGAAGCTCCCTTCCTATGGGCTTCCCGAGAAATTGTGCAATTGGATCACCAGCTTCCTAGCATATCGGTGCATCAAGGTCGTTGTAGACGGTGCATGCTCCGACTACAAGCCTATTAACGCTGGTGTTCCATAAAGTTGTGTGTATCACTATCACTAACGCTGTTTCTTCTGCATATCAATGATATGTTGCTAACTGGTAACATTCATTGCTATGCGGATGACAGCACTGATGATGCTCTATACACCGGCCGTGCCAATATTTCTCGGAAAAATGGCGCCGAGTACCGGAACAAACTTGTGTCTGAAGTCGAGTCTTTGCTGAACAAAGTCTAGGATTGGGGGCGACTAAATCTAGTCCAGTTTAATCCTCAGAAGACACAAGTTTGCGCGTTTACCGCTAAAAAGAACCCCTTTGTCGTATCTCCTCAGTTTCAAGGCACTCCCCTTCTTGCCTCAGCCAGTATCGGAATCCTCGGAGTCGACATATCGGTGACGTGCAGTTTCGTGGTCACTTGGAAGAGAAGGCAAAATTGGCCTCTAAAAAGCTTGGCGTGCTCAGCAGAGCGGGACAGTATTTCATGCCGGCACCCCGCCTGCAACTTTACAAGGTGCAGGTTCGGCCTCACATGGAATACTGTTCCCATCTCTGGGCAGGGGCTCCCCAGTGCCAGCTCCTTCCACTTGAACGCATCCAGCGCAGAGCGGCTCGAATCGTCGACGACCGAGTCCTTTCCGATCGGCTCGATTCATTGGCACTGCGAAGAGATGTTGCATCCCTTTGCATTTTCTTTCGCATCTACCACGAGGAGTGCTCTGAGGAATTGTTCGGATTAATCCCAGCCGCCAAATTTCACGAACGCACATCGCGGCAGAACTCCCGATACCATCCACACCATCTGGATGATTGGCGGTCCACCACTGTGCGATTTAGAAGATGTTTTCTTCCTCGCACGACTTCCTTGTGGAATCGATTACCATCAGCGATTTTTCCGGACCGATACGACGTAGGGACCTTCAAGAAAAGAGACTACTCCTTTTAATAGGCCGGCAACGTATCTGCAATTCCCTCCCTGGTGTTGCAGTTGTTCATGGGCGGCGGTAGTCACTTACCATCAGGTGAGCCGCATGCTCGTTTGTCCCCTCTGCTATAAAAAAATAAAACCTTATTTACTCGATTTTTTTCATAAACAGCAATAACGTTACATCATTAATTATATAATTAAGCTTAAGTTTAAAATTTGACTACTGTTTGAAAAATAACCCTGTATACATTCTGTGTACTAAATATCGGGAATTTGTCAATAAAACAAAAAATACAAATTATTCATCTAAATTTATTTTATCGCCTTCAAAGTAGGCCCCATCGCTTGCAATACAACATCTCCAACGCTTCACCCAGTCTTCCATACATTTTTCATAGGCTATTTGCGGTATGGCCTTTAGCTCATTCAGCGAATTTTTTTTATGGCTTCTATCGACTCAAAACGTTTTCCTCGAAGTGGTAATTATAACTTGGGAAATAAAAAAAAAGTCAGACGGAGCCATATCAGGTGAATACGGTGCTTGGTCGAGAACTTTTGTTGAATTTTTCGCTAAAAACTCTTTCACTATAATGGCTGTGTGTGATGGTGCATTATCGTGGTGCAGCATCCATGAGTTGTGTTGCCACAAATCTGGACGTTTTCGGCGGATACCCTCACGCAAACGCTTCATGACGCCTAAATAATATTCTTTATTCACCGTTTCTCCCTTTGGAAGGAATTCGGAGTGAACCACACCACGGTAGTCAAAAAAAACTGTCAGCATCACCTTGATTTTGGAACGACTTTGCCGCGGTTTTTTGGGTTTCGGCTCGTTTTCGAGACGCCATTCTGAAGACTGTTGGCTTGTTTGCATGTCGTACTCATAAACCCATGTCTCGTCGCCAGTTATTATACGTTTCATAAAGGTCGGATCCGTAGAAGCTCGGGAAACCATGTCTTCAGCGACATGCTTTCGCTGCGCTCTTTGAACAAAATTGAGCTCTTTTGGAACTAGTCGAGCGGCGACGCGTTTCATGCCTAAAATGTCAATAAGAATGTTGTGGACGGACTTAAAAGATATGTTCACCTCACTAGCCAACTCTCTCAGACTCATACGTCGATTTTCGAGCACTAGCTTCTTGATTTTGTCGATGTTTTCTTTGGTCGTAGCGGTTGAAGGTCTACCAGAACGATGCAAGTCTACTACTACTTCTCGGCCTTCTTTAAAAGCCTTATACCATTCATAAGCCCTTGTTTTCGATATACACGATTCGCCGTAGGTATTTCGCAACATTTTTAGTGATTCACCACATGAAATATCATTTGAAACACAAAATTTAAGGCACACTCTTTGTTCAACAATAAAAATAACAAACAGTCAACAGTAAAAATCGCCGAGAACTCAAAACTATTGCTTCCTCTACACTACTCGCGAAGTAACTTCGACGAAGTGCTCGTCGAAGTCGATCGCAGTCCGAAAAACGTGACCACACACTCGTGCTACTTCGCGAAGAGCTCAGTCGTCTTGAGTCTCCCGCACCGTTAACATGAATGACGTTCAAGAGGCAGCTCCTATATGTACCTAATTGTGTGAGCAGTACGACGTCAATGCGTTAACTAAATAAATAATTATGTAGAAAGTTACATATTTAATATTTATATATAAAAAAAATATTTATAACTGGCGTACGCCGAGTAGTGTAGTGAGACGCTTCGTGTAACTTCGGGGTACTTCGCGAAGTCCTTTGACTCTGGCGCAAAAAACCGACAGCGATCGGAAGTCGCTCGAGGCGAAGCGAGGTTGGACGAAGTGAATCGAAGTACCTCTCTACACTATTCGCCTCGTCCAACTTCGATCTACTTCGCGAGTAGTGTAGAGGAGGCATATGACTAACAAAAAGTGTAGTTTAAAACAAATTAAATGACAGATCCCGCTCAAACTTTGCGCGCTAAATCAGTACAGTGTTACCAACATGCAGTAAAAAAATTAGAAAGACCTCTTTTACGCGGGTCTTTTTATTGACATATTCCCGATACTTTTTACACAGAGTTGTATATGTATGTATGAGCTATTATCCTTTTTCTATCGTCTCTAATGACACTCACGGGATGATATGGCGTAGTACATTCTCTTACGCTGTCATCAAACAGCGTTAAAATATATAGAAATATAAACATTTCATTAACTGAATAGCAGCAAATAAACATTACCTTTTGCATGGCTTCAAGGAATTTGCCCATTTTTTTGTAACTCGACTTTTTTACATCTAACGTTCGGTCCGGAGGGCACAGAGGTATCAGATGATTCCTGCAAAACAGTTATAGGAATTCATTGTTCAGTATACTGAGATATTTTAATAAAACGAGTTCAATTGTAAAAGTACCACACAGTCCACCTGATGGTAAGTGGATGTTACCACCCATACTCATCTTCATCTATCTTCAGTTAAGAATCAAAATGCAGATACATTATCGCCCGGACTATGATGGAATGCCACGTTTCCAGTAAAAAGGGGTCTCCGATTCTCTACACTCATCATATGACACACGGCAGCATAAAGCTGCTATTTTATGCTGGCATTTAGCGTGGTAGCAAGGCTTTATCACATACTAAAATGTACGAAATGCACCTATCACATTGTCTCACCACGCCCACGGTCGGCTCGGAAATAATGCCTAAAGGCAGTAAGTCTGTCATCTAGAACCCTTTTCTACCGAAAAAGGAGGTACACAATTCGACTGTATGTTGTTTTTATGTATCTTGCTTTATAACTTATTTCTGGGTGAACCGATTTCGATGATTCTTTTTCTGGGTGAACCGATTTGAAAGCTGGTGCTCCTCATATGGTCCCATATAAACTTGATCAAGGTCTGACCAATAGTTTCCGAGTTGTTCTTAATAATTTATATTGAAGTCAGTTGTACAAAATTTTTAATTTTAAATTATGTTAAGGTATGAGCAATAGTGTAAATATGTAAATAAGTACATGAAACTTACTTATATAGTAGGTTGGTTTTGAGGGGCAGTTCTATATTCTTCCCTTCCAGTTTAATAAAGGACAGGAGGCACCATTTGAGCAGTTCGTCCATGTCTGTCGGTATTGGATCTTCTTCAATTTGCGAGGTATCTGTAAGAATGTTACAATTTCAAGTTTTTTTTTTAGTTATAACGATGGTAACAATTTTATGAATTAATTGTAAGATGGTGGCATAAAAGAATTTATTATCAAATTCAGTCTCGTCGATGTCGTAAGAAACGATTATGGGAAAAGTCAGAAATATCTCAATACGTCTAATAGATGTTTTAACAGTGGTAGAGCCACGCGGCAGCTTTTGCTGTCGCACAGATGGGTCGGCTCGAACCGAGGTGATACCACGACCTCACAGAATACCAGCGTGAAGTAGAAGATTACTTCTGCGTTTCGCTTGAAGAGTGCAGGTGGCCGGAGGCCCAATCCCCCCCCCCCCCGCCCTTTAACATGGTAGCGGATATAAAACAAAGGCGACCCCTGCCACGCTATCCGTGAATTTCTGTAACATCAGGGGACTTCATTTGAACCTTAACGCCGTCCACTACCATCTGGAGACGGCGAAGCCGGCCTTGCTTTTTCTAACCGAGACACAGGTGTCCTCTCCGGCTGATATTTCGTATACACTCTTTTGTGCCTCGGGCTGGGGTTTGCGTATACCTATGTCAGAGAGGACATCTGTTTTCAACACCTCAGCAGTCTTGAAAGCACGGACCTGTCCATCCTATGGCTGCGCGTAGACCATCCCCGCGTCTACGGGTGCCTCTATAGGTCCCATACTACAACAGGTCCCATCCGCAGAGAACGTTATCCTCGGTGACTTTAACGTCCACCAGGCTGAATGGCTTGGTTTCCGTTTAACCGATCATGCGGGTAAATCTGTTTATGACTTTGCCTTGGCATATGGTATGACACAACTGGTTACTTCGCCTATGAGGATCCCAGATGTGGAGGATCATGTACCTTCCCTGTTGGACCTTCTGCTGACCTCTCATCCAGACGGATATCAGGTCTTGGCTCCTCGGACCGTTGTCTGATCCGGAGTACGGTGCCACTCACGCTCCCATCGCAGTTGCGATCTGCAGCTTGCCGCCGTGTTTGGCACTACAGGTCGGCCGATTGGGACGGGATGCGGTCTTTTTGTGCATCCTACCCTTGCGGGTTTGCTTCTCGCCGGATGATGCCAAGGTTGTTGCTGATTCTGTCGCTGATGTGGTAATTCAGGGAATGGAACTGTGGTACCTATCGGAGGCAGAATTCGGTCGTGGTTTGTTCGCTCCTGCAAAATTGCTTCACGCCATAAGCAGGAGTGACGTCTCGGGATGCAAATACCAGCGCACTCAAAATGAAGTATAATTCTGCCTCAAAGTCCTTTAAAAGTGTCATTGCCAAGGCAAAGTCTAGAGCAAATCGGCAGAATTGGCGAGAAACTAGTTCGACTTCCTTCGGGAACTCGTGCATTCTGGTCTCTCGCCAAGGCTGTCCAAGGGAACTTCTATCTCTCCCATCTCTGCACAAGAAGGTCGACTCACTGGCCCATGCCGCAAAGGAAAAAGACGAAAAGACGATCTGCTAGGCACTCTCTTTGCGTCCAACTCGAATCTTGATGACGGGGGGAAAACACCGTCGACCATCCCGCGGTGTGAGTGCTCCATGTAGGAAGTGCTGTTTACACAGCGCTTGGTTCGCAAAGCACTCTTTTCCCTTGACGTCAACAAGTCGAGTGGGCCTGATGGCGTCGATTCATTATCAAAAGAGAAAACAGGGCAATATGTTTATATGGACTGACCACTGCCGATATATAATTTAAATAAATGTCGAATCTATTATGGGAACAGCTCCTACAATACTAACTAACACGAATAAGGAAACTGAACTGGTATTACCTGTGATAGCTGTGTCGTCTAAATCCAATTCTTCATTGCAATCGACATTTGATATTTCATCTGGGATTATTCTTGGTGCATTTAAAACCGGGGAGGGTGTAGGTTTTTCTGGTTGTTTGATGTCCTCTTTTACTAAGCTGGGCCATTCCTCTTTAATTGGTTGTTGGATGCTTAGCTAGGTAACAGTAAATTTTTAAAATTTTATATTCTTGTGTGTCTACAGTTTACAAGATGAGTGCAAAACAAGATGTAAAGGAAAATTAATGTACAAAACAAACTCAATGAAATCGTTTCTAACACTGATTTTATTATAAAGAAAAAATTCCTTATATCTATAATATAAAAATGAATCGCTGAATTTGTTGCTAAGCGCAAATCTCGAGAGCAGCTGAACCGATTTCGGTGATTCTTTTTTTATAATATTCCTTGAAGTACGAAGATGGTTCTTACGGAGAAAAATTTTAAAACTTACTTGAAAAAGTCTAAAACAACACTTTTCTGTATTCGCATACAAAAGATTCGTAATAATACTTAAACGTCGATTTGAACTTTAATACCATACCATAAAGTTTAAGTGTTAGTGGAGGGGTTCCGGAAAGGCAAAACAATTGAGTGATGTTAGTATTGTATAAATATTAATGTCAATATTTATACACAGTGGCAGATAGCTGATATTATAAGGAGTAACTTGGGCTACTTTTATTTTAGGGTTCCGCGAAAAAAACTCCACGCGGGCGAAGTCGCGGGGAACAGCTAGTAATTATATAATTATTATAAAAAGACGTTTAAACAGAATTACGGAAGTTATACACGTGGGCATAATTAACAAATAATATTGTATCTAAGTGACCTAAATTAATGAGTAATGCATGTTTTAGTAACTCTTGTGTGTTAACCTGTACTTAATATATTTTAACGGCTGTTTTTTATTTTACTTTTAAAAACATTGTTTTTAATTTAGGATTTTCTTCTGCATCGTGGGGGCAGTTTACATACATACATTGCACAAGGACAAACATACAGACCCGGAACAATTACTTGTAGGCCATACAAATACTTGTTGCGTGCAGGATTCGAACCCGCGGCCCTTAGCACTGTAAACATTGCTAAGTCATTGCGCCACGGAGCTGTCAGTCGTCGTTAGATGATATGACGTGATGGATTCTATTACGCAGTTAGCATAGTATACAAGTGTGGTAAGAGGCAACAGAGGGATACATGAAAAAGGCGATGGGCAACAGCATCTTCCCAATGAAAGCATAAATAATAATACATTGCGGTAACCAACATGTTGACCCAGAGTGGTAACTATGACAATCCGATGTAGTGTACACTGAAAGTTTTTCGTGTAACTCATAAACAAAACACTTTATATGTAAACCTGCTATTATTACTACTGTATAAGAATCTTATGTTATAAAAAAGCAGTTGCAAGTCTATTTGCCAAGCGTTGGTAAATATCAATCTTATGAGGCAATCGTGGGATCCTATCAACAATAGATTTAACAGGTGACGACTCTTCAACTTCAGGAAAAACAGTAAGGATCAATTGCAGTAAAACCATATTGAAGAAATATATAAAAGTTAATAAATACTTGAAGAAACTACAAATATTAATGAAAATAAGATTAATACCAAAAATTATGTTAATTTACGTAAACAAAAGCAAGCATTGGTATATGAACTTAAATTGTATTCAATTGAGGTGGATAACATTAAAAAATGTTATGAGACTGACGTAGAGTGCCTTAAATCAGGAATTTTACTACTTCCTAACTCCCTTCAAACTGTGTCCTATAAATATAAATATTGTCAGCAGGGCTAGCATGGGCAGGAGACAATTTTATCCCCGGGGAAAGGAGAAAATGTTTATCCCCTCGCTTAGTTTTATCCACCCTTAGAGCATAGGCACAGCGGTGGATATAATATCCACAGTAGATAAATTGGGAGATAGACTTAGACTTAGATAGATTTTTTTGTATGAATATAAACTTCAACCCACGTCCAATGAACTAGGATAAAATTGTCTCTTTCAAATGTCAAAAAAGCATAATTTTTTATCTTTCATTTGGCTCCATGCTACGGACGGGGGATATATGTGTACTCGTTATGTCAAACGGGGATATACTTCCCCCCGTTTTATCTCTTGTTAGTGGATATAATCAGGGGATAAAATTTTTGTCCCACGCCCATGCTAGCCGAGCAGCAATGGATTTTGGATAGCCTGTGATGAAGATGATGAAATGTTATCCAATCTTTTGACCACAGCAATCATTCTTCCTTATTACATTTTTTGTACATTACTCATTGATTACAGTCTATCAAAAGTAGTTGCCACGCTTGGCAGACAGTTTGGCAACTACAGTTTTGTTTTTAATTATTATGAATTGTTATCAGGAAGGCACTGCTATAAACACAAGAGAGCTAAAAAAATTTTTCATCCTTACATAAATCCTTATACATCCTTATCCTTTGACCATTGTAGCTGCTAATTTTGCAAATGTATGTTTAAACACTTTATTATAATAGTAGCTGTTTATTTTTTTTTTTATAGGACAAGGGTGACAAACGAGCACACAGTCCACCTGATGGTAAGTGGTTGCTGCGGCCCATAGTCATCTACATCTATCCTCTATTACAAATCAAAATGCAGATGCATTGTCACCCGTAAGGACTAAGATGGAATGCCTCATTTCCAGTAAAAAGGGTCTCCGGTTCTCTACACTAACCATACGAAACACAGCAGCGTTAAGCTGCTATTTTACGCTGGTATTCTGTGAGAGCGTGGTCCTTCCCTGGTCGAGCCGACCCATGCATGCTACAACTATACAACTAATATAGCTGCAGCATGGCTCTACCACATATAAATTTGAGTAGTTATTAGCAGTTGAACAACTCTGAGATATTATACAACACTTTATCTCCTTTTAACACTCTTTAGTTTTTTCAGCCGACTTCAAAAAAAGGAAGAGGTTCTCAAATCGACTGCATTTTTTTAATGTGTTACCTCAGAACGTTTTATTTTAGGTGAATCGATTTTGACGAAAGCTGGTGCATTTCATGTGGTCCCAAATAAATTTGATCCAGTTTGATAAAGTTTTTGAGTTATCCTTAATAATGCGTATTTAATTGACTTCGACTACATTGATGATGTTTTCATTTTATTTATATTGGATTTGGTTGTACAAAATTTTTAATTTTACCACTTGTAGTAATCTGTCTTCTATTAGTAATACTATTGTGTTATATACCATCGTTTGACTTACCTGAGCTATATCCATAGTAATATTGTCAGCCATGTCATTATAAGTGGGGGGATCAAACTTTGGCCTTTCAAGCTTTGTGAACTTAGGTTCTTTGCTAAGCAAGTCCCCATATACATGTAAAGGTTCCATGCAGACACCCCTGGAAATATTTTCACTTATGAAAGATATAGTACAAGGTCTTACTTAAGTTATAATATCTGGAATACCTGGGATATTGATGTAAATAAATAAAAAATCGTTACCTAATATACCATAAATTTTGTATTATTCTAGACTCTAGCTCTAAACATGTAAGAGTTCTAAAAATATGCTGTGTTGTGTAGAGACAATGTAATGGTAAGATATTTTTTGATTTTCTTTTGTAAAATAAGGATGACAAACGAGCTCAGTTCACCTGATGATAAGTGGATGCTGTGACCTATATAAATCTGCATCTATTCTCAATTAAGTATGTAAATGCAGATGCATTGTCATCCCTGAGTACTAAGATGGAATGCCTCGTTTCCAGTAAAAAAGGTCTCGGGTTCTCCATATGAAAGACAGCTATATTAAGCTGCTATTTTACACTGGTATTCTGTGAGAATATAGTCTTTTACCAGTCGAGCCGACCTATTCATGCTACAACCGTTATATAGCTGCATGGCTCTAAATCCAATAACAAAATAAATAGAATTACCAAATATATATTTTATACTCTAAAGTGAAAGCAACCATAAGTTTAAACCAGCAAGTTGTACTTACATACTGGTCCTCAGCAGATCTGAAGAAGAAATAGCAGCATGACCTACAGCCCCTGCAGCGCCATTGTCAACTGTAGCAGCAGCAATAAGAGAGCCACGGGAAAAGCGCGGGAATGTTACTGGATCTGCTAATGTTACCCCCGGCGCGTACAGTGGTGCACCCCCTGCAAGCTAATAAATGGGATGGTATGTAGAGGTTGCCACAATTTAGAAATCAGAAGGCACTTTTTTCTATAAATATAATATTTATAACAAATTAAATTTTACTACTGGTCTTTTCACTTATTTACTAATCTTTTATAGGTTTATTCATCTCTATCTATAATATAAAAATGAATCGCTGAATGTGTTGCTAAGTGCAAATCTTCAGAGCAGCTGAACCGATTTTGCTAATTCTTTTTTTATAATATTCCTTGAACCACGAAGATGGTTGTTATGGAGAGAAAAATTTACAAAATCGCCTGAAAAAGTCCTAAAACAACACTTTCCTATATTCCCATACAAAAGAATCGTAATAATACTTAAAAGTCAATTTGAACTTTAATACCATACCATAAAGTTTAAGTGTTAATGGAGCGGTTCCAGGAAGGCAAAACAATTGAGTGACATTAGTATCATATAAATATTAATGTCAATATTTGTCAATATTTATACTCACTGGCAGATAGCTGATGTTATAAGGAGTAACTTGGGCTGCTTTTATTTTAGGGTCTTTTATTTAACACTACACTCAAAGTTGTTGATGAGTATCCTTTCCAAAGACAAAGTATCCAAGTAGCTTTTTTTATAGAATAGGGTGTGAATGAGCATGTGGCTCACATGATGGTAAGTGAATAGCAGTTGCATTGCCGGCCAAGTTAACTACACTAAAAGTGACTAAATGTTTGGTAGCAGCAACAAGTATTTGTATGGCCTAGAAGTAATTGTTCCTGGTCCTATGTTCTTAAACAATTTATGTATGTAAATTGCCTCCAGGATACAGGAAAATCCTACTGTGAGGCTAAAATTTTATATCATAAAAAACTTTGATGAGAGGTTAAGCAACAGATGTAACTTGGCTAAGCAGGATTTAGGAAGTCACATCACAAACTCCTTCTTTTTACATATTATAAACCAGTGCTTGACTATGATCCCACCTAATGTTAAGTGGTAATGAAAACCTACATGGTAAATCTCACTTTCTTATCATAATAAAAGCCTATTAACTCTTGTATTGAAGACACACAGTTTGTATTTGGAAGAATATATAGATTATTCCTCTCCTTTGCTGTATGCATTACAAATAATGAAGCAAAGCATTTGGTTCAAATGCAAAAGGGTGTAGGATCCATCCATTTATCGTACATTGCACACTTTTAAAATACATGTTAATGTTAATGGCACAGCTTGAGCTAAGTTGGAAAAATACCTTGGATAACACTGGAGAATGAACAATGAGAGTCGGTAGGAGGTCAGGCACTTTCCATAGAGCACATACAGTAGGCACCAAAGCATCTCCAGTTTCTATCATCACAGGTACGCTATCCACCACGTATACGCCGACTGTTTCACCCGAATGTAGAATTAATTTCATACAGCTGCTATTTGATTTTACTGGCACCAGCTCTTTCACTTTCTCATCTGTAGCAGCAGGGAATTCATTTAAAATACGCTGCGCTAAATGTTTTCTGTAACAAAACAGTGAAAAAGATAATAAGAATGAAACCTAAAATTTAATTTCTTTTAATGAAAATCATTGTGTACTTTTCTGAATTTTTTAAGGTGTTGTTAGATTTTAATTTATATGCCTTGAAGAACATTATGGTTATTAATAAATTGAGGACAGTTTATGATATAATATCCTTGAACACTAGAAGATTATCCCATCATTTACACAGTTTACGCGGCGTTATTTTGACAAGCAAGATCGAACCAAGAATACGAACAGCTGCCAACTCCCAACTGTCAAGATTATATATATTATATATATAATTGATAATAAGGCCCGCCCCATACACACGGAATTCCGTTTCGGGATACCGTTTCGATATTCCGATGCGAGATTCCGAACGCAGCAAGTCCAAATAAAATCTATGACCCGTCACACACGTACGGTCGTATTCCGATCGAAATTTTGCGGGTAAAATTCCGTATGTGTGTGGCCGACCCGTTCAGAATTCCGAACCGGAATCCCGAAACGGAATTCCGTATGTATGTGGCGGGCCTTAAGCGGCAAAAATGGTGACAACTGATAATATCTAGTACAGAATAAACAATAGTTGCTTTAAGGTGGGAGCGCCAGGGTAGCCCGCGAAATTCAAATTATCTTACGTTATTTGCAATTTGCAGGTCAGTATCATGTTGTATGTTTAACAGAATATGATTCGCGACCGTAACGAGTACGTATTTACAGAATTATAATCATTATTATCATCAATTGAACTGTCTATGTTCATATAATTCCAATGTATGGCTATTTCCAGAAAAACTCATTCAAAGGGATTATATGAACTTAGAGGGTTGTATTGGTGATTGTAATGATAATAATTCTATAAACACATACTCGTTACAGTCGCGAATCATATTTTATTAAACATTTAACCTAACCCTGATCTTCAAATTCCAAAAAACGCAAGAAAGTTTTAATTTTGCGGGCCACCCTGTAGCTTTCACCTTCAGTTCAATCTGTCAAGTCTTTTACTTATACATATGGAGTGTAGAGTAGAAGGAGGACCATCTCTATATATAAAAAGTGTCCCTAAAAACTGGACACGTTTTTAGGGACACTTTTTATATATAAGGGTGGCGCTGTAGTAGCATAGGATAAATTAAAAAAAAAGCGCCAAAATTAATTAAAATAAGATGGAGAAATAAACAAGGACCGACCAATCCGCTTGGTTTTGTACTACGTAAATAGTTGAGATTTTGTATACTGGCATTTTACTAACTACTCTAGTCATGAAATTTTTAAATATTTGAATTCAGCTGACTTCACTCCGTTCACAACAGCTATCTTCATATCGTAGTTTCTCAGACGCCAGCGCTATTGTGGTAGGTTTTGGAACCTCTATTTTCAGTAAATAGTAGGACACTTTTTCAACTTTCGTCCCTTATAAGATGGTTCTTCTTGTACTCTACACTCCATACTTATACATGAGATAGCCCAAGGTCACCTCTTCTTCTTCTTAATAACTAGCTTTACGGCTCTGGGATCTAGCCCTTCTGAGCCTGAAGTTACAATATATTATAATAATTATCCTTCATAGCATACTGCTTCACAATATGTTGATGCGTCACATTGTGCAGCCCTTGGGAGATTTTGACGGCAACTTGAGCCAGCAGACAGCTGACAGTTGGCGATGGTATCTCAAGGCGCCTAAGCAGAAAGACACCTTATTTTGAGAATCACATCACCATCAGAGCACTTGTTTCACAGTTTCCACTAATAGTTCACATGCGCAGACACTTAATACACAAAATCGCACCACTTTTACATATCAAAGTCTACTTTAAACCATTATTTAAACAATAATAGAGGAGCAGCAAACCGCCGCCGGTCAAGTTCCCGCCAAAACTCCCCAAGGTCACCTTTTTTTTTAAAAACTAGCTTTACGGCTCTGGGTTCTAGCCCTTCTGAGCCTCCAAGGTCACCTTTGTAGAAAGCTCCAAAGAGTATGTTAATATTTAGAATGGACCCCTCTGAACCAAAGAGTATATAATCACTACGTTTAGTCAGTACTATAGTTACGAGTGCTTAGAACAATACTTTTTTAAATGTTATTTATAAAAATCATTAAATCATTTATTTGCAAGAAATATGGTTGGTACACAAGATGTTAAATTAAGTTATAGCACAGGACATATTTCACCATCATTACGGGCATGCAAAATCATAGTAAATTTACAACCATTATTTGAATAAAATTACAATTAATAGAACTATTTGAATAACAATTAATAAGAACTATTTGAATTACAATTGAAGCATTGGGTGCAACAAGGGCGTTCGGTATCCAAAGCCCGTTTAATGTTATTGCATTAAAATATGTAATGCGTCATCTAGTATTTCGTGACAAAAACTCATTTCGATCTATCGCTTCTAGGCGGCGTGAGAATCATTTATTTTGAAGGAGGCGCTCCGTCCCTGTTGCAAGGATTACAAATGTGTGTTTAAATTTCAAACACTTTACGACCTGCAGTTTTTAAAAACTTATTTAAAGTTAAAAAAACATCTGAAATTAGTGATTTTAGTGAGTATGATGCAAATTATGACCAGAGTGAATATGTTCCCCCGAAAAAGAAAGGAAAAAAGAATGTTAAAGAATGAAAATTCATGGAAAAAAATGTGCGAAAGGTGAAGAGAAATTTGGGTGAAGAGTACACATCGGCTCGGGGTAAAAAGATACCTGAAAAGGTTTTTAAATTACCACCAAGTGTTGTTTCAAAAAGCGTTGTAATATCGATTATCGATAATAAGCTAAGCTTAGCGGTCAGCTATTGCAGAGTCTACGTCACCTGAAGAAGCCTCGTGTAGAGGCGAAACACTTGTCGTTTTGTCGTAAGTGGTGTGTCTTCCCTAGATTTTTTTTATAGGATAGGTTGACAAACGAACACACAGTCCACCTGATGGTAAGTGGTTGCTGTGGCCCATAGACATCTACATGTATCCTTTATGTTATCCGTTTGCGAATCAAAATGCCTGATGCGTTGCCACCCATGAGGACTAAGATGGAATGCCTCTTTTACAGTAAAAGGGGTATCCGGTTCTCTACACTCACCATACGAAACACAGCAGCATTAAGCTGCTATTTTACGCTGGTATTCTGGAAGAGCGCGGTCTTTCCCCGGTCGAGCCAACCCATTCGTGCTACAACTATACTACTAATATAGCTGCAGCATGGCTCTACTACGTTATAAAGTGTGTGGTGGTAGTGTAGTGGTGTTGGGAGTAGTAGTGCTGGGATTAGTTGTGACGGGGATAGTGCACCCAATTGAGGGAGGGCGGGAGGTGCTCTTCAAACTAGGTAAAAGACACATCGTTTTATTTTATCGAGCGGATGTACGGAAGGTAATTTTTACCAACTTTAATATAATGGATTTCCGCAAAGTAACACCTGATTCTATTAACTATATTATTGATATTTACTTTCAAATAAAACTAATTCGTATAAGAATCTAAAACAGTTGTTATTTATAGTCTTAAAAACCAGTAATAAACTAAATGCCCCATTTATATACTGGTTGGGTGCAACAAGGGCGGATAACACATGTAAAAAAAAAATATTTTCAATATCTTCTAAGTATTTTGAAATGATAATAATATCTGAATCATTAAATTAAATCACAGCACGAATGAATAATCAAGTATATAGGAGTCATACTATAAACATTAAAAAGTTTAAGACTTTATAACCTTTATTTACAATTACAATTTTCTCGAAATTTATTTTTCCGAGATGCTCACTTGTTGCACCCAATGCTTCAATTATTACAATGCTTTAAATTTAAATTATTTGAATTACATGATTACAATTACATAAATTATTGAATTATTATAATAGACTAAGTCACAGGAAATAAAAAGAAAGATCTGATATCTAAGTGGGCACCAAATCGGCAAATGTTTTATTAAAAAAATCTTTAATAGTATAGAAACTCTCCTGGATTAACCATTCTCGCAAGGTACAACAGAACCTTTTATATGACAGGTCAATCATTCCTTTGGGCAAGGAGTTATAATATATTAGAGATGCCATATAAGCAGTTTTTTTTAAACAGTTCTAGCTTAGGCACAGGCATTTTCAAGGGCACATGGTTAATTTTTCGTTTAAATGTATTGTCGTTAGAGGTGAAGAGATGACTGTGGTATTTAACAAATTTAGCTGTTTCGTAGATGTATATGCAGGGAACAGTTAGTAGATTATTTGATTTAAAGGTCGGTTTACTTGATTCCGACCAATCCATGCCGTACAGTCTCCGAATGCATCTTTTCTGTGCTATAAACGCCAGCGTGATGTCACAGGAATTTCCCCAGACAACTATGCCATATCGTATAATGGAGCAAATGTAAGCGTGGTATACCACAATAGAAGTATGTCTGCTTGTCACGTCTTTTACCTTTCGAAGTACAAAAACAAACTTATTTATTTTTATGCATAAATTATTAATATGTTCTTTCCATGAAAGATGTGTATGGAGAATAATGCCTAAGAATTTTGCGGTGTTTATCTGTTGTATAACTGAATTGTTGTAACTAATATTTAATCCATGTTTTTACTCTTATAAGTTTTGAAGTTAATTAGTTTCGTTTTATCAATGTTTATTTTTAATTTGTTTATGTTTAACCATTGGATAACATCTTCTAACGTTTTATATATTTCCGTCTCATAGGTATCTATATTTTTACAGCCCATAATGATAGTTGTGTCGTCTGCAAACAAAACACAATCATGTGTGAGTGCACGTCGGCATTGACGTAAATAAGAAATGAAAAATTAAAAACTAAAAACTTAAAAAACTTAGAAATCAAAAACTTAACTACATGTATAATAATTATACAACAAAAATTTTATTACAATTAGTTTCGTTACTAAATTACGCTTCTCTAAATTAAGAGAATTTAGTTCAAATGATGAGTTTCCGCCTTTACCTACGCGTCACGTTTACTTCACACACTTTAGTCTATTTCCTTCGCCGCGTGAAGAGGCAACTACAAATTTAAAAAAAGTTGGTACAAAAGCAGGTTTGTTGTTAGTTTTTTATATAAAACGTAAGTAATTAATAATTATCATCATCATTACAGCCTTTCATAAGTCCACTG